TCATTTTCACTAGAAAAATCTCATCAATATGTTAAGAAAAATTTCGGGATAAAAGAACGTAAAATTAAAAAAGTTGATATTTAATTCGCTTGGTTGCCTCGACTCACGTTTCATGCTTATCTTTTATTCGCTGTCCTTGTCTACGTTCGGCAAACTACAAAGGCGGTCCCTGACTCTACGAGTGTCAGGTGTAGCTTCCTTGCGGTCTGACACTTGTGGAGAATATACTGTACTACGAAACAAAGAAAAATTCACCGATTTCACTTTTAACACGTTCTTTATTTATTCCTGAATAAATGTTACCGCAATATTACAAAATTGATTCTCCGTTAAGTGATCGACAGGCGACACGATAAAGCAGAGCATTATTTTTACAAAATGGTCGTCGATCGAATTGTTAAGATAGAAGAAAACGAAAGTTTCCATCCGTTTGTTACAAACTTTTCACGTTTCTCTCTGATAAGAATGTTCGAGAAATACAAATTTGCTTTGTTAGCATTGGCGCTCGTTTAGAAACGTTTCAGGCGCTCGTTTGGAAACAGATTCCCGCCCGACCTTATTAACGACTTCGCTAATGACTTTGGGGAGAGGGTACTGCAGGTACATAAGGACCCGCCGAGGTCCCGCGAACTGATTCACCCTTTATACTGGGCCCTAGACACTTCGCGGCAAATTAGTCTTAAAAGTTCTCACATAAATTTGAATAAAACTTTTTTTCTCCTCGTGAAATGCTACGCACAATGGTATTTCCAAATTTTCGACGTAGTTGTCACAGTTTCTAAAATTACGCAGCCGAAATTGTTGAAAGATTGAACAACTTTTTCCTGAACGTTGAAAAAATAATGTTCCAAGAATGCGTCTAAAATTGTTAAACGGTGATACAATCTATTGATTTCGACGAAATAAAGACGCAAGGTTGTGCTAGCTTTTTAAGAGTTTTCAGACTTTCACGGCCCGGATTGATACGAGTTTTGGACTCGGCTTACACCCGGAAGTATTTCCACTCGTATGAAAATTGCACTTACATAAATTTTCAATCAGAGATGCGGAGAGGATGACTCGAGCCACGCGTTCCAGAAACGTGTCTCTTCGGACAGCAATTTGCAATCGACAGTCTCCATTATTTCCAAGAATACCGGTGATTAAACTTCGAACGACTTCTCGCTGAAAAGCGTGGCGCTTTAATTTGCGCCAACTTGTCGATCCGAATGATCGAGCTTTTCTTCAAGTTACCTCTACTCCCTGGATTCGCACGTTTCTCTCATATTTTCGACAAATGAAATCTTTTCTTCTCTTTTTGTGAGAAGAACGACGAAACGATGGATTTCTCGGCCTCGTCGTACGTAGTTCGTTGTTCGCTGGTATATTTGATCAGCGAAGAGCGGATATATTTAGAATTTCGCGATTACTTTTGCAAATAACGAGAAATATAAAGGCAGTCTGAAACGGTGGACAGGTGTAAAAGTTTGAATTGAAGGATGTCTGCGTGCGTTGTTTGTGCATTTTAAGGATAGCTGAGAGGTTTTCGACGAAGGAGAAGTAAGATTTTTGACGAGAGAAGTGTTAGGTTTTCGATAAGAGGAAAATAAGGTTTTTGATTAGAGAAAATTAAGGTTTTTCGATAAGAGGAAAATAAGATCTTCGATAAGAGAAAAATAAGGTGTTGGATTATTACTTATTGGATTATTACTTATTATAATGCGTCAGCCAGTAAGCAAAAATGAATTGTGTTATATATATGAGAAATACTGCTAATGAAAGAGACGTAATAGACTGATGTATTCTTGGTCTCCTTTTCTTAAATGCGTAACAGAATTTCAGTTGTGCCCTTGCGTTTTTGTTTCCTTCACTTTGACTACGAAATTCGAAGAGAAAAGACGTCCTTCCGCGCCATACAAATAAAAACACATTTAAGAAAATATATAGTGAACGCTATTATTAAACCCATTATCCAATATAAGGTTTTCGATAAGAGAAAATTAAGGTTTTTGATAAGAGAAAAATAAGCTATTTTACGAAAATCTTACGAAAAACGGAGAGAAATGAATAATTTTTCTAGAAAGAAGTAAGGATTTTTGAGAAAACTGGAGATATTTTCATGTTTTGCATATTTCGATATATTTTGAAGGAACAAGAAGATATCAGAAGCTCTATCGTTTAATGACAGGATACTGCACGATATTACTTGGAAGACTATAATTGCTCGCGGTATTTTTTCCTTGTTTTCCAGTGATATTTACCAAGGCAGCGTCGAATTGCAATTGATTTACGATCATTGTACGAAGAATGATCTCTCTTCAAGCTGTTTCAATAAACGTTACCGATCAATTATACACTGTCATTTACAAACACATTCTGTCGCACTACTACAGTATCGTATTTTTCATAAACGCTATTAAGAATTCTTTTATCGTGACATGAATAACAGTTTGAAACGAATGTGATCGCTAAGTGAACTTGTTTCAAGTTAAAAAAAAAATTTGAAATCTCTCTTTTTCGCTCTATGCCGAATCTCTGTCTTTTTCACTCTATTCGAAATTTGTCTCTTTTTCACTCTACCCGAATTATTCGAAATCTCTTTTTCACTCTATCCGAATTATCCGATATCTGCCTTTTTCACTCTATTCCAAATCCCTCTTTTTCACTCTATCCGAATTATTCGAAATTTGTCTCTTTCTCACTCTATTCAAATTATTCGAAATCTACCCTATTCACTCTACCCGAATTATCCGAAATTTGTCTCTTTTTCACTCTACCCGAATTATTCGAAATCTCTTTTTCACTCTATCCGAATTATCCGATATCTGCCTTTTTCACTCTATTCCAAATCCCTCTTTTTCACTCTATCCGAATTATTCGAAATTTGTCTCTTTCTCACTCTATTCAAATTATTCGAAATCTACCCTATTCACTCTACCCGAATTATCCGAAATTTGTCTCTTTTTCACTCTATTCGAAATTTCTCTTTTCCACTCTATCCGAATTATCCGAAATCCGTCTCTTTCGCTCTATTTCAACATCGTCGCGTTGAACTTCTTTCTTGTTTTGTCAGATGAGTGACACTTGACCACGTTATGTAGCAATTTGAAACAACCACGATCGCCAAATGAATTTCCTTCGACCTGAAAAAAAAAAAATGATCCAAATTACTCGAAACCTCTCTTTTTCA